ATATCCTGCACTTAGGAAGCATCCTCCTAGTCACAACTTTGCTCCTGGGAAAGCTAACTTAAACCCATTCAGTGGTCTGAGAGACAAAAAGAAAACTGAAAGCAGCATCTAACTTGCTTTGCTCCCAAGGCATGTCAGCTTGCTCTGTGGCAAGGCAGCAGAGCTCAGATTCCCTACAACTCATGTGCAGTAACTCACTGCTGTCAAACTCACCAACACATTTCTCAGCCAGTTCTTCAAGGAAGTTGTCCAGTGGCTTCAGGGTCCAGTCTCGTGTGTGAATTTTGAAAATCTCTTTTCTTGCCTGAAAACAAAACAGCTGCATTTTAGTTTGTCCTAAGTTTTCTCTTTAAACAACTACAACACAAAACCCCTCAAACCCCCATACTAATACAAATACTTTTCTCATCTGCTCAACTTTAAGTATTTTAAAAGTCAGGTAACATGCTGCTTTCTGAAGCAGGAAATTTCATAATTCTCAACATGTTATATTAAACTCTTGCTCAGGGCCGCAGTGAGATAAAAGGCATGTACTTTTTCATAAAAAGTGAGTTTTCACAACTGTGAGACCTAACGATTCTGAGGAAAAAAAAGGAGTAAAAAACCTACCAAACTTATCTGCAAACAGATTTTTTCGAGGAAAATTCTCTCAAACTCAGCAAGATTTCACAGCGACAGTCTAATTAGTTCATCAAATTTGCTTTTCTGCCAGTTCATCCAAGGAACACAGTCCCAGCACTCCGTTCCAAATTGCTACAGTTTTTACTAAGAAAAATAATTATGACTCAAACTACTGTCACTCATCCTGAAAATGTCAAATGTTGTCTATCCTCGTCTCTGGTCTGAGCAAGACCTCCATGGAAGTATTTCCTGGTACACAGGCTAATTATGGCAGATGCCTAGAATTCTTCCACAGTAAGGAATTGTGCATTAGATCAGTTTCCTGGCACCCTCTCTCCTGTTTGTGAGAGCACAAAAAATGGAGACAAATCTTTGTGTTAAATGCACTGTTTAGTGTACTTTTACTATCCTTCAATCCAATAAGCCTTTTATCCTTTAAGAAAAAGAAGTATCAGTGATAGCAAGAGAGAAACCACAAAAACAGTGTTCCAGTTTTGCTCACTGCCTTCTCTCTCCCCCATATTTTTTGGTTGCTAAACACTTAATATTTTCATTCCTTAGCTACTGGCAGTGAACTAGAAGCTTCCCACAGTGAATTCACATTTTTGTCCATGTCCCTGTTACTAAGTACTCTTCAGAATGTCAGATCCCAACATGCTGAACTGACTCCAGCACCAGCCTTGATCAAACCTGTTACCAAAAAGGAATTCTTGTCTGCACACCACTTCTTTCACTTTCACAATGCTAGAGCAGTACTTGATAACTAATTCATACATTCATTCATTCTTAAACACTTTGCTGACTAGCAGCACTCCGTTTTCTTTGCTGCTCAGAGAAACCAAAACTAATTAGAGAACTAAGTACTTGTTGAAATCATCTTAATCACATCTATTCAGTACGAGGTCTGCCCTCCACAGTACAAAGTCTCTCCAGACAGGCTTCGTGTCGGAGCTGTACAGTGCTGATGGAGACTCTCACTGCCCTGTGATGCCACCCTGTTACAGGGGTTGTTATAAAGATGGACTCTGCCACGCTAGCATTAAGGTTGAGTGGAAGTTCTGACCTCTTTGTTTGGCAAGCTGAAGAGGAACTCTCGATCAAAGCGTCCTGGTCTCCGTAAAGCAGGATCTATAGAATCCAGTCTGTTGGTGGCTCCAATAACCACAACCTCTCCTCTGCTGTCTAACCCATCCATAAGTGCCAGAAGTGTTGATACAACAGAGCTAACAGAGAAATACAGTTTTCATTCATCAGTTTGGTACATTTTCTTCAGTTTCACGTTATCTTCTCCAATGCTCAGTCAAAAAGGACAAGCTTTTATTGATGAGATGCTGATTAGTAAAAGATTCATTTTAAGACATAAAATAGCTAAGGAAACACAGACTTTGTGCTGATATCAAGCTTAGCAAATTGTTTTCAATTACTGTTTAAAAATCATCTGAAATTCAGTAGTACTGAATTACTAGTTTTCAGGATAAATGAATGTGTCACATGAAGCTAAACAGGTTGAGATCTTCTTTTCACAAAGATCAAGCAGCTTCTACGAGGATACAAAACATGTCCTACCTATGAACTTGGTCTTGTTTACTGGACCGTACAGGAGCAAGGCCATCGATCTCATCAAAGAAAATAATCGACGGTCGCATCTGGTAGGCCTACAATGAAACCACAGGAATACTGACACCAGGAAAACTGCACTATTCGAAAGAGAAAGGTGTGTAAGACATTATGGTTGGAAAGTCACTGGAACAAGATTTTTCAGACCAGCATCAGAGATCTCCACTAATCGAGCTAATGGAGTAGTATGGCACAAGTAACAGAAGGCAGCAGCCTATGTCAGCCCACCGAGTCTGGACGACAGGAAACTAATCAGACCAACAGTTTTTACAGCTACTTGGCAATCACCAAGAACAGAGCTAGGACTTAGTTCGACTACAGGTTCTGGAAGCAACCTTTCTTGCCAGCTTAAATGAATATGCTTTCAGCTTGCA